GCGGTCAACGACCCAAGTGTCGGGGTTTGGATTTGTGGTAAATTGTTTATCTACGATGGTCGTAAGTGAACCCGGAACAGCTCTGGTGGACAACTTTTCACAGATACACATTTCATGTTGTATCATTGTTCAGTTGTTTGTTTCGACAGCATCGCACGAGTCGCCGATTCATCGTGACGTTCTCTGTCAGGTTGATATCTATTATGTAGTATTTCTGAATTCCGACCCCGCGCCCGACCTTGTGATTGCTGTCAGCCACCTCTGACGGATGTTCGATCGCGGGGCGCAGGGCTAGGCCGACTGGAACCAGTGTGGGGGCGGACAAGTGGGCAGGTAATATGAAAAAGAGATTATCGATAGTCACGACATGGAGGTGGTGTTCGATTTCTCTTGTTCGGGCAGTGGAGGACCTACATAAAGCCTACAGAAGAACCCGCCATTGGTCCTCATGGACCAGTGTGTGCGAATCGGGCTACTTTAGGTGGCGCTCAGGCGCGGTGGATGACGGTTCCACTCTCCTCTTCGATTCACGTGCTTTTAGTTTGTGAGAAACCGAAACGCAAACAAATGATTCACGTCTTTCAAGAAGGCCGGCGCTGCAATGGCGTGCCACATTCCATCAGGGGCTCCTGTCCCGCCGACCCTGTTATGATAGGTGTCCGAGTGACTCACCCGGCTGACGCATTATTGGCAGACGGACAATAGAAACCGCGGGCCTTTCCGATAGGTGACGTTTCGATACCAGTCATATTCCAATGTGGTTTGTTGCGTGATTTTGGTGTAACACCGTGACTGGAAAAGCTTGTAAACGTGCATTGAACTCACATCCATGCAAGCTTTCTACTTCAGATGGAAAAGCCTGCAGCTGCTCATGAAAATCACTGGTAAAAACAAATACCCGGCTTGTCCCAAGGTCTTGCCCACTCTAAATACAGAAGCTCGGATCCGTCGGTACCCCGACTCGACCATAGCTGCCAAGCTGCCGCAGCTCCTCCGGTGGGCCTGCCCGCCGCCCCGCTGTACCGCCCTCCCCCGCCGTCCAGGGGCGTCTCTGGGGCGAGCTGTGGCGGTGACGGCCCCTGCCGAGCGGCTGAGTGAACCGGTCCTCCCACGGGCTAGCAGCGGCAGGCCTCTGACGCCCTCCGCCACAGCCGGGGCCCGGCTGACCGCCCAAGCTAAAGTGGACTGAGCGTAGGTCGCTGTGATGAGTAGGTGGCAGCTGGGGCTGAAGGGGCGGCTAACAGTAAACTGAGTGATTCGGTAGACCGAATGACGTGGAAGCGGGACGGGAGGAGGGCAGGTGACGCTGGTAGGTCATCAGAGTTCACTCAGGTGGTCTGGAGGCGTCGTGTCACGCATTCCTTGCATTCTAGTGATCCCCCATATACGGAGAAATGTTCCAAGAAGGGCTGTAGGCATTAGCAATTGCAGATTTTTTATGCACGTGCACAGGGCTGCGAAGTCGGCGCGTCGGAGTCGGAGTCGGAGTCGGTCGGAGTCGACAGTACTGAGCGTAGTCGGAGTTGGAGTCACTGAAAAATCCATCGACTCCGCAGACCTGGCAGGGCTGCAGAGTTTGAGTCGGAGTTGGAGTCGGTCGGATTATATACAACTAGATATGCAGCTCTGACCGGAGTCGGAGTCGGAGTCGGAGTCACCGAAAATTCATCGACTCCGCCTCCCCGCACGTGCATACCTAATGTGCCCTCATGGGGCGGTTGAGTTTGTGGCAAATACTTTGCTGGATGTGATTTTTCTTGTTGAATGGGACGGTGTCACATTTTTTTGACAAAATTTGATAGGTTTACGTTAACCCGTTCAAGAAGATGAAGTCGATTTCTCGACGTTCAGCGTCGATCGTCAAAAAAGTTAAGGTGCAGATGCACACTCTGTGCTTTCATAATGCAGTTTGTTTACACATACCACACATTTCTTCTTTTATCAACACCATGGACGCGGCCCTACATCAAGTTTCATTTACCTGGTATTGTCAGTGTGCTGGCTTCGTTGGACTCACACCATAAATATTGTCACGGCGAGTTTCATGCAACTGCAGCGGGTGGACCATGAGCCCGACAGCTGTCGGGGAAGACGGGTGGCATGGCATCCTCACCGGCAGCTGTGCATGCCGACACAAGGTCACGGAAGGACAGGCAGTACCTACATATGGGATCTGTCCGGCTCGTAGTTAAATGAGATAACCTTAAAGTTTTATTCACATTTTAAGAATGGGCGACGGTGGCATGAATTGTGCATTTGCTGTTATTATCGCGTTTTATGTCGCACGTTTCCTTTCATTCAACATAACAACTTCTCATTTACCTGGCACGCCTCTTTCCAAACACCATTCAGCGCGTGCCATCGCCGTGGCTTTTCGTGGCCGCGTGCAGTTTCGATTCGAACATTGCACGTCGTTGTCTCACTTTCTCACAATTGCGTGCTGCTTTCTCACGGGCCACGCTACAAAGTGTCGGCGCCGCTTTCATACCGGGAGACGCGTGTCGACGACGCGGTGAAACGTCGGTGGGCGGGCCCACGCCGTCGCTGACTCGAAATGAGAGTGGTGCGTGGGACTCCTTGACTGCTGTTTCTGGGCACTGTGGCAGGATTGGGACAGCGCCGGTCTTGATGTGTGCTAGCGTATCTGTTGGTGTTGACCGTAATATGGCTAAATTATTGCTTTCATCTGTTATCTTGGTCGTATAAAAGAAATGCTGAATTAGGTGGCTATCTTATATCGACACCTTTTTTTAAACCCCACATTTGTTCTCCCGTGAAGTTCAGACAAGTCGTTTAGAAACGTTCAAAAAAGGTGCAGTCGCTCGATTTTTCTCAAGTTTGTCTGTCTTGGCAGATCAAGCAATGCCAGAGCAAGCTTACGAACACACAAATTTGATCAGGATCTGACGATTGGACACTTCTAAAAAGAGATCTTTCGTGCTTCCCGGAAATTCACCGGAGAACAGATGTGGGGTTTAAAAAAAAAGGTGTCGATATATGTAGATCCGATAAAAGCGACGGTGAGGTTGATTCGTACCTTCCTACAGGAGCTCCAGGAGCACTTTTGCTGAAGATGAAGACAGAAGAATCATTGTCCTTTCGCTCGCTCGCTCAGCATGCTTTTTTATAAGTTCCGTTCGTGTTTGCTGTTTGTTCTCAGCCTATACGATTGTGTCTAGACCAATATCTTCCAAAATTATCAACGTCTTATTATGCATGTCACGGCATGCTTTTATCGTGGTTCGTTGGTGTTATCTGCGCGCTATTTTATGTGGTTAACTATAACTCGTAAATACGGTTCGAGGTCACAGCACTTTTTAACAACTCCCATTTGATGTGATATACTGGGGCGATGAAATCACGGTCATGCACGCCATGATTATATGTTTGGAAGAAACCTGCTGGTCTGGATGCATCACGCAGCGCTGAACTTGACTGACCGGGTACCAGTCACCTGCCACCAGTAGCCTATCATGACAGTCGCTCGCTCCAACAGCCTGTCATAAACAGCCTTTCACGTTCTCCCGATACCTAGCCCGTCATGACAGCCATCCTCATCAGCAGCCTGTCACCATTATCCAGCAGGGTTTCAGCTGCTCCCAACAACCTGTGATGGCAGTCAACTGCTCAATGTCTACCGTCAATCACTCACAACAGTCTGTCCATACAGACCTCTCCCTGTCCCGCCGGCCATCGAGCCATACAGTGCGCCCGCCCACCGCTGCACCAGTCTACAGCCGGCGGCGTTCGACGTTAGTCAATCCCAACTACTCCCGGTACATTTCATCGAGCAGCCGCCGCCGTCTGCGACGTAGAAAGTGCACTCGGCGGTCGATCCGAGCTGCGATTCCGTCATGGCTCTGCACTGTTCAGCGTCGACCGGCACTTATATGGGCGACCACCGCCTGCAGGAACCGGACCTGTCCGACGTTCCGCATCTCCTTATCCCACTTCACCGAGCTGCCGGGGCATTGGCCCCACAGCTAGCTGGCAATGGCCGTAGGCACGGCGCTCCTCGTATGAAAACGATCTCATACATAGTGAGAAATGAGGTCCACTTGTAGGCAATCGCATGGAGCCATCAGACTTCAAGGTCTTCCTGGAAAAGGATCCCAGTTGAGCGGTGCTTTGTTATCCGTGCGATTCGTTAGCGATCGCTTCGGTTTTGCATAATGCACCTCGTAATGAAGCTGGATGCAACGATGACACGGAATACGGATACGGTTTGGGTAAATGGCTATTGAATCCCAAACGGGTATCGGGTAGGTGGGTAGGTCCCATGGGGATACCGGTTGGGTGGGTACTGGGTAGGGCACCGCCGGCATAGCCATGACTTCGCAACATGCATGTTGCGGCAAGCAATGATAGTGAGTGCTCACGTACTTCTTGATTGCTGCAAATACGACTCAATTGACTCGACTATCGGCATTTCCCGCTAGTGGATTATGTGTTGTTACATCTTAAATAGTCCGAGTCGTTGCAAGATGTCGAGATGTTTTTTTTTCATTTATCTAAATTCGTTACATTACCCGTGGATGTTGGGGCTTGCTTATGTTGGGGTTTTGCATTCGTAAGTCGTAACACAGCGGGCTACTTTGTTCTACTGATATGCAGGGTGAACTATAATCTGGGGCAATTAACAACCCGTGTAATTTGGGCCTCAGCTAAACGACGCATTTCTAAATGAAAGTGTCTTATTAATTCAATTAATTTAGGTCTCTAGAGTAGACTTATCACGCATATCATGCCACGCTACCTTCAATTACGGCGGAAGGTCATGGCAGTCCCCGTCGGGACTACTGCAAATAAACGTCGCTTGACGAATGCTAACTAGTGTGCATGACCAATGGACGTTCTGTTCAGACTACCGAGTAGCGCCCCCACGGCAATGTTGCCAAAGTTCAATGCAGATTAGGAGAAACCCGGTAGCTGGATGTGTGAGATGTCAGTACGCCATTGCACAGTACCGCTCGGTGAAAGCACAATTCAACAAACCCGGCTGTCGGCGTTTCCCGTTAGTCGATTCTGTATTGTCACACATCAGGGAAGGCTTAAACAAGAACACAACGTTAATCACGGTTAACAACAAGCTCAGAGGCAAGTGGCCACGCGGCAGTGAGGGCCGACTGCCACGGACGCTCGATTAGTGCCAGCCAGCCAGCACGCCCGGTTAGCACAAAGTCCCTGCACGACTGACAACACGCGGCCCGGCCGCTCCGAACGTTTTCAGGGAGGGAAAACACTCCCCCAGGGTCGCCCCAAGGTCACCATATAGCTTCGGGGGCTCCACGGTCATAGCACCACAGGGATAATCACTCATCACACCGAATCGTCAAACAGCAGCTCAGAACATGGTCTCGGCGGCAGTGTGGCGGCGCCTTGTCTCACAGCTGGGACACGTTACGGGTTCACCTGGCCGCTCCCGAGCCTTGAGTCCCACAGGCAGTGACACTGGTCCCTCGTGGGTGTCTGAGTTGTCTGACAGCTCTGCGGACTGATGAGCGGCAGTGTTGTGGCTCTCGGCCGCGCGAGACACAAGCGGCGCGCTGTAGATGCGACGCGCTAGTGAAAGTGCGTGTCGGCCACGGGGTCCCACGGGGTCAGGGGCAGGTCACAGGTCACCGGTGGGTCACGGGTCGAGCGGCGGGTCAGCGCGCGGCCGCCGCACAAGAAGCAGTGCCCGGGGCTCTTCTGACGCAACGGCCGCGAGGCAAACGACTGCGAGAGACGGCAGCGGCAGCCAGGGGCAGTGGGGCGTTCAGGTCACAGCCGGTAAGGGACGATGTCCCGGCCCGGATATCGTGCCCCGCGCCGGTCCCGACCGCTCCACACAGTTGTTGCGTTTGTAGCTGAGCTGAGTGGTAGCTGGGTCGCTGCTGTCTCGGCCGCCACGGGGTTACCTTCATCGTCCTGACCCGTGTGTTCCCGGCGACGTATCCGCTCCCACAGCACAGAGGGAGACTAGAGCGACGCGGAGACTCCCCGAGCTTGCTGTTGATATTGGCAGCTGTCGAAGGTAGCACCATCAGTGGGAATATCTGTAAAGAAGGAACGAACTGTTATAAGAAATGCATGCATGAAATGTTGAGAACAGGATGGACATGGTTTTTTCTTATAACAACACGCTAAGACATCATTTATGAAAATGCAATAGATGCATTAACTTGGTTCCCTTGTATGTACGCAATCCTGGATATTCCATGCCCTAGCTGGTGTGATTCAACCCGTTTTAGTGCGAAGCTGATGACGCGCCCGTGTGACCAGTGCCGCCGTGCGTCACCCCGACCCAGTCCCGCCATGGTGACAGCGCCTGGCAGCGCGCTGCGCCGCCAAAACAGCGCCCGAACGCGGCGCTCGTTTGACCTCAGAAGGCCGTCGAGCGACCGGCCGTGACGGTGGCGCCGCGCGGTGGCAGCAGCGCGAACTAGCTCGGTGGGCGGGCCGCTCGTCTTATATGGTCCGTCGGCCCGCCATCCGGCCCGCCAGCGGCGGCGGCTGTGGCGCTGCACCTGCTCCATACTCCGCACAGAAAACAGACCCGCCTAATAAAAAGCACACAACATGCTATCGTTCTACCAAACTGCGGAGAAAAAATATCGCAGATTGGGGGTAGCGATACGGCCTCGGCGTCCGTGCCTCTGCGAGCGCAGCGGATGTTGTGACACCGTTGACGGCGTCTCGGGACGCGCCGTGTGGGCGGCGCACGTCGGCGACTGTTTATCCGGAGCGGCGTCTCAGTTCGACCCACGGCTGCAGCGCGCGGGAGGGAGTGTTGGTAGGGCCGGGGAGGGGCGCTGCATCGCCCATCGAATCCAGCCGCGGGGGCCGAGACCTTGGCGGCGCGGAGCGCGGCTGCAGCCGTGGGCTGGTTGGCTGGTGGGCCCGTGTGGAGGGCTCGGCCTGCTGCTGACAGCTGTGCGGTGCTACCAGCTGGCACCTGCCAGACGGGGATCGAATCCACTGACAAGCTGATTGACGTGACGTATAATTGTGGAGACGTGAAATGGGGCGACCGTCCACTCCATATCGCTTAGAGATGGTGAAGATACCGACAGCCCGAGCCAAGCGCCTGGTAACAATGAGGGCACGACACATGTTCTGGCACATACAGCTTGAAGCTTATCCAAGCCAATGAAATATTTCACAAATCAAACATTTCTTAGAGGACTTTGAAGTCTTCTATATGGTTTTAAAGTTCGGCGTATGGTGTGCCAATATTTCCTGGTGGGTGGTGCTTTCCGTCTGTTGAACGGGGGCAATACCCATGGCACGTGCCGAGGCGAACATGTGCCAAGTCATGGCTAAATGGATTAGCCTAATGATAATCAGAAGTCATTCCAAGTTCCAAGGTGAGTGGGTTAAACCAGTGAATGAAAAGAAGACAAAAGACGAAATTGAACACAAAAAGTTGTGTTTCCGGAGCTGGCTGAACCGCAGAAGCCGTGACGCGGATGTAAGCCATCAACACAACATCGGCAGTCATTCCCCTATCATTATCGGTCGAATGCACCATTGGTGCTGGCTGTGTGTCAGTGGATTTTCCAGATCAAATTGCACACGTTCAGCCGAGTGCTCCCACTTACACTGTCAGCTGCGTGGTAAAAACGAGCTGCGAACGCCGGTATTTGCGCCCGAGCTTCCAGCGCTCATGTGTGAAACACTATCTGTTTGGGTTGACTTCATGGAACGCCCAGTGCGCGTCAGCTAGTTTTGCCGCCGCCATGTCATCCTATTTGGGTGGCTGACGCCTACACCATGACCTTCAGTCAGATCGATAGAGACGGAAGCCCGACAGAAGAACTCCGTACATCCAAATAACGGGCTTTAAGCTTCCCGTACCCTCGGCTGTTTACCCCATCTTACCCGACAGTCACAGCAAGTGACATCCGTTTAGCATTGCAGTCAGCCGGCTGAACAAACCGTTCGGCGTATACCGCGGCGCCGGCACGGAGGGTCGTGCTGCCATTACGAGTCGTTTGTGTGGCGTACGCCGCGGAACTGACGCTTTGTCTCGCCAGTTGTTGGTTGACGGGTTCCATACAAAGCCTTACGTCCAGAGTGGTCTCACGGAGTGGGTCTCGCTCTTCACCGCTGCGGGACGGCCTCGGGTAGCAGATGTGACAGATGCCCGCTGGGTTCTTGTTTAGACGGGTTCCCTATCTAATTCGCAACTGTGATAGGGTTGTGTGGGGTTTCAAGTAGCTTGAGAGTGTCATTGCATGTTTCAGTCAATAGTGTTGAGCGGAGGTGAGGAGTAGAAGAGCCATTCACGTGAGCACGTGTCAGAAGCACGTGATGTGCACGCGATTCTAGCTACCCTTTCTGAGTGCCGTTTTGGGCATCGAAGAAACTCAAACGACCACTACATCAGCCAGGTGTGAGCCGCACTATGATCTAGTATTCTTTTCGTCAAACCGTCACAACCGGGTGCTAGACCATGCCCGACATCATCCATAGGCCGTGCTCCCGCCGCCGCCGCCGCCGTCCGTCAGCCGCGTCCCACTCGGCCGCCGCCGCCGCCGCGCGACCTTGGGTGAGGGCGGCGGCGGCGACGGCCGGACATCTGTGACCAATGTGACCCTTTGCACGGCTCGCGGCGGCCTGACCACCGCGGGTCGCCGTCACAGGCCTCAACACCAGTCAACACGTTCCCCGTGCCGGTTTGAAGCCGGTGTGAGCACGGGTGCTCTGACTGTGGACGGTTTTGTGGAGGGGTGTTCGCGTTGGCTGTCGAGGTCAGACCAGCTAGTCGCGTCAGGAAGTGCCGCGCCTGTCATTCAGGGGTGTGCCTCGTCCTTAGGACGTGATCGGACGTGGCATTGGGCTGGGGAAGTAGGTCATCTCGATTGGTCGTGGGCTTCACATGTATGTGATGGTTTAGTCAAGGTCGTCTCAATGTCCGATCATGCATATTTCGAAAGTGGCTGCTTTGAGTATGGATGCCGCCTCGGCTGCTGTCATGCAAGGAATTTAGATATTGGGATGCATAACTGAAGCTTCTGTTAATGCTGAACATTGTTTACCATCAATACCTTAATTTTTGGAAGCCTTCCCTGAACATTGTTGCTCTCGTGCTGGATCTTAATGGCTAATTGCCAGTACCCGCATCATGCATGTGTTCACCACCCGTAATTTGTTTTCGACAGACATCGGTATCTGTTCACACGGTATAATTTGAAATAAATAGAAAGTGCTGTGGACTCCATGAGTAGGCACATCGCGATAGAGGGTCTGTTATGGTTATTGAAACAGCTGCCGTGGAGTTTGAGAGACTGCAAGAAGGAACAGGACACCAACCGTAGGAGACTGCAACGGAAGGTCGCTCAGTATCCATGAAAGACTGCAACATAAAACATAACACAACACCAAAAGGACTGCAAATAGGACCAAAACACTAGCTGAAGAAGACTGCAACGCCGAACATAACACTAGCCCTAAAAGACTGCAAGTGGGACCAAAACACTATCCTTGAAAGACTGCAACGAATAACAAACCACCAGCACTGAAAGACTGCAGCTCAGACTAGAGCACTATCCGGGAGAGACTTCAATGAGGAACAGAACAATAGTCGAGGCGCTTGATCTTTGCGTCCCGCATGCTGGTCAAGCGGCCCACGCGAATAGAAACGTGTGGTTGATGTTACATGCCTCTAGCAATTGTTCTGTGAGTCTTTGTGAAAATTTATGGATGTGGTGACAAGGTATTAGATGGATGGGCATGCCTGTTTTATGAAACACAGCAAATCATTGCTTCTTCTATAAATTATAATCAACATTGGACGACAAACGCCTTTAGCAACAAAATCACTCGGTTGCACAGCGCAAACATCTTGTCAAAACAGTTCCAAGCATGCTCATTGCTCACTGCTCATTGCAATAACTGTTCGGTTTGGATGTTCCCATCGAGTTTCCACGGTGGCTGGAGGTGTCTGTCCCACACCAATCAGGACCAAATCATACGGTCTTTGTGTGCCGGTGAGAGCACCGACCGTGGTTTGTCGGGAGCACGGGACGACCGGTCGGGAGGGGCGCCCAAACGGGGAGAGTGCCCACTATGGTCCCACGCCTCCTTCACTATAACGGAGCGCGGATATTGCATGCAGGCGAGGCTCATAAAGCTGAGGCGGAAAAACTACGAAAACCAGAACCGATTTCATGGAACGTATTATCATACGCTTATCATTGGTTTGAAATTCATTCAGCTCATTTTTCTCAAATGACTGACAAAACATGCTTTATCACAAAGTCGTAAAATGCCACTGCATCGCAAGAACCTTTCCAACCGCAATTATGTCGAGTATTCTGCATGACACGGGCCCGGCTATCAAATGCAGCCATGCATTGTGCCAGAGCGCGCGGCCCGTGGGCCGCGGCTGTGGCCGGGGCGTCTCGCATCCTTACAAGGTGAAGGAACCCGTAACCATTGCACGCTCAGTGCGCGCACGTGAGGCAACTTTGTCGGACGCGGAAACCGAGAACCACATGGCTGTTTGAGCTGAATACGATACGCGTAAATCGAATATTTGGGCTGGCAGAGGATAAACAAATGAGGCGGTGGGCTTCGAAGGTGCTGTTGTGGAGATGGCAGACTTCTGGTACATATGTCATGCTTGTGTGATAAAGAGCAAACCATTCACCTCGATTGTAAAAGAAGAAAGACGTTCCTTCGCAGATATACTTGGAGAGCCAACGTCCAGTCACAAGGGCAATTCCCAATAAGCAATGCTCATTTCGGGTTCTAGCATTGTATCTGATATGGCTGAGCTATACTGGGCCGTTCCCAAGATCTCCTTTCAAACACCAGCCGCGCCTCGGCATTTAGCTCGGCAGAACGTTTGAGAGCGCGTCCAAATGTGGCCGCCCGGCTGCTCCATATGCATATATGTAGATGGTATCACCAACCATGAGTGGTACGGCTCACGCCTGTTCTATGCGGAGAGGCGCCGCCGCGCTGGCGAGCCGGCGAGCTGCCCGGGTCACCGACCCAGACCCGACCCGACGGTCACCGCTGAGCTGGTCCCATTCAGACACCCACACCGGAGCTGGGGCAGCCGTCTGACCCGGGCTGAGCGGGCGGCTTGGCGGCTGCACAGAGTCGGCAGAAGTCGGGGTCATGGAGCACAGGCTGGGGATGGGGTCAGTCTCTCGCCTCTCCGGCGCGACTGACACGTGCACAATTGAACAGTTCGCTTCTTAGTAAAACTCGCTTGCCTTTCGATCACGATGCGCCGGAGGATGACACATTCTCGAAGGAACCAGAGAGCAGTTGATGGGTGACGACCAGGCAGTGCCCTCCCGGAGCACAGTAGCTGGCCTGCCATTACCCTACGGCAGAGTGCCATGTTCGGTTTACGCCCACGAACTCTCCGCACTCTCCAGACACAGTCGACTACATTACCGGATCACCTCTTAACCAGCGACAGCCAAGCAACGTTAGCCGTTGATGGACACCTGTGGGCGAAAAGCCGCATTTGGTGTCCCCCACCCCCATCTCGAAGTGTCGAAACTGGGGCTAGGACGACTGGCGGGTCAGTTCCCTTGTTTTGTGTTCCCTCGCAGCGGCCTACATTGAACGCGCTCTGGGCTACTTGCGCTGCGTCTTCCCACAGCTGCTTGCTGCAGCTCCTCACAGCTGCCTGCGCTATACGCTTTCCCACAGGTGCTTGTGTCAACGTTGAGCCAGCGTATAAAGCCTCGTTTGGCGCTGGGCAGTGCTGTGACTGTCTATTTGGTGACTGATGTGCTGTCCTGCACTCCATGAGCCGCCCGGTATAGTCAGATATATAATAGGCTGACAGTGACAGCGTCTGCTGGCGACTGGCAGATGACACTATGACAGCCTGCCGACAGTCCGTATGCGTGTGCAAATTTTAATGGGCAGTGCCGACTCTAGGTCAAGGAGGGCTTGTGTGACTCGGCATAAAAAAGATGAACAAGACATCTATGTTATGGTAGACCCTTCCAACTCTTAGCAGATTGGCTTTGAAGATTAGTATTAATGAGGTGATTATCGTTTCTCCAATCAGTGCTAGTCTTTGAACATACTTTGTCGACTATGCCTGATTGTATGTATATCCACTGCCCAGGCGTCTGACCGTCTTTTGCTCCCACGGCTGTCAGCCATTTTAGAGATTATAACACCGGCGCCGGTCAACCAGCCGGTGGCTGGGCTGACCTCAGGTAACCTCAGCTAACCTCAGGGTGACGAAAGCGTCATCAAATGTGGCCGTATTCGGCGCGAGCCGCGCCAGCTAGCCCTGCTCTGCCGGGAGGGAGAGAGGGCAGGCTGGGAGCTGGTCATCTGAGACGAAACGGACGAGATAAATGCACCGCTACCAGTCGGTGAGAAAGACCGATGGCACCACGGAGACTTGTACTCAGAGGTGCCAACATACAGGGACATCTGTCAGGGGAGATGGTATCTAGAAGAGTCCCATTGCCTGCTCGTGTTTGTTCAGTGTTCGCCCGTAAGTGCCGAATGGTGTGAGGTTACCTGGGTGGATAACCTTATCCCCTGTTACATGTAATCAACCGGTATGTCTACCGCTATCAGATGCATAGTAAGCAGGATTGGCTTGCTTGGACTTGAGCTAGTGTAACAGAACAAACGTCCTCATTAACGAACCGTAAAGAAAGATAAATGTTTTTATCTCTCATTAGTGGTCACAGGACTTGACATCGTCATAAGGCATGACCACGGAACTGGGACAGTGTGATTTGTGCCGAGGCGAATACAATTTTACATACAACCATGACGCTGACATTATTTATCAGCCTAACTGTGCTGGAATTTTGCTGGCAGCCAGCGAAGCGTACCCACATTACGGGCCGGCCATCATCCATCATTACTGGCCAGCACATCAGCGGTAGCATCGGGCGCAGTTAGCGCGGATCTCAAGGGCGATTTGCAGTGCAATCAGCCTTGGGGCCCGGTTCTGGCGGTCGGTTCGGTCCGTGGTACGATGTCGCCCGGCGGGTCCGCCGTCGGCTCGGCCGGGCAAACAGGACCGCCACCGCTCTTTGGCGGGATAGTGCGGCCACACACGCTACACTGCCGGTCGGGAGGCGCCCTCCTGATGCCGGTCACGTCGCTCGTTTGACCTGTGTGTCAACACGGGCGGCAGCCGGCGCCTTGGTCCGCATACTTCCGGCGGCGCTGGGCGGCGGAAGTTAACACTTCCGGCATTGTTTGGCAGCTGGTGGGTCGCCTCTGAGTGGTTGTGAAGTTTGATAAGGCAAGATAAAACTCAGACTCCGGTCTCCTTTCGACAGCAGTGCTGTCCTGTCGCTATTTCATGCTGTGGATCTAACTCCACCCAACTACCTTCCCCACTGAGCCGACCTCGCCCGCGCCTCTCCGGTATCCCCCGCACCACAGATGACCTCCGAGTGGCCACTCACACATCATAGGAGTCAATCGCCTGCCCGAACCGCCCAACCGGCCGAACGGGCGGACAGGCGGCCGACCTTCTATGGCAGAGCCGCCCACACACGCGGGGCGGGGCAGACGGTGCAAGCCGGCTGGTGACGTCACCCCGCCTCCAGTGTGTGTGACGTCATCAATGAACTAGTGACGTGATGTACGGAGGCGTCGGCAGGCACGCAGCCTCCTGGATGACTGACGCGGCAGATATAGCCAGCGAAAACAATGGCTATTAGGTCACATCCGAGGCGCAACCGCCGCCAAAAATGGCAATGGAATTTGCCAGGTACGCAGAAAGTCCGTGCAGTATTTATAGCTCGGTAGGTGGCCTTGTAGGATGCATGTGTGATGCCTGGGTTTATCGTGTGGTGCATGTGACACGCTCACGTCGAAAACAAGAATGAATGAGTGAATTGTTGCAACATTTCACTGTAAGACAAACAGTGGTATGCATCACACTATAAGGGTAGCGTCGTAACTACAACGAAGGTGAAATGCGCGTACCTTCAGCACAGCACTGTGCGAGCGAAGTATTGTTCAGTACCTGCTACAATACAGCATGGCATTGCAGGCGCATGTGGCATGAGGGAAATGGGCAGAACCCCAAATATTATTGCGTGCCAGAATGGGACCGCCACAATAATGCTCTAGAAACTAACAAGCATGGTATCCTACACCAAAGACGGCAATTTAAAATGTTCCAGCGCTGCAGCAGTGCACTTGGCATTGCTGGCTAGCTTGTGGTCGGCCTGCGGTTACGTATTGGGCGCATTGTGTGGGTCGTGCTCATTTCGGTGAAACGGTGGGTCATTGACACTGATCTATGGAGCGATCGAAACTAGTCTACGGAATGGCACTAGTCAATGGTGACTCTATGGGTCTTTTGGCTCTATGGGACCTTCGGCAGTCGGCACTCACCTATTGGCGTTGATGTCGGTTACCGCGCCGGCCGGTCCTCGCTGCGGTACGTCGACCGGGAGCCCTTGGGCAGGCTGGATGACCGAGACACCGCGTGACGCTCCTTGTCGCGCCTCTCCCGGTCCCGGTCCCGGTCTCGGTCCCGGTCTCGGTCCCGGTCTCGGTCTCGGTCTCGGTCCCGGTCTCGGTCCCGGTCTCGGTCCCGGTCCCGGTCTCGGTCTCGGTCTCGGTCCCGGTCTCGGTCCCGGTCTCGGTCCCGGTCTCGGTCTCGGTCTCGGTGGCGGTCGGGGGACCGCTCGGTAGAGTTCTCCAACTCGTCCCGCGAATCGCGGCGCGGTCGGGGCGCGCGGGGCGGTCGTCCGCTGGCACGGCCGTCCCCGCCGTTGCGCACACCGTCGCGCGAGTCGCGACTCTCCTTGCGATCATTCTCATAGTTGATGGTCTTGTCGTTGGGATGTTTCAGTCGGAATGGTGTCAGCATAGAGAAGGACCTGGAGACCTTGCGCCGCTCGACGGTGGGCAGTGGCTCGCTGTCGGCGGCCGCCGTGTCCGCGGCTCCGTCCGGTGAGGGGATGTCGGCCACGGTGGTGGCGTGCAGATAGACGGACCGCTCGCCGCTGGCCGTGGTGCGGCTGGCCGCCGGTCCGGCCGGCTCGCTGCCGCTGCTGTTCAGGGACGAGGTGACACTGTGTGAGTTGCGCCGCCCGCGCCGCTGGCCGGTGCCGGCCGCGCTCGGCCGCCGGCTGGGTGGTCGTCTGCCGGTGCCGCTGCGCCCCGAGTCGACCTCGTCCTCCCCCGGGTAGCGCCGGGAGAAGCTGGCCGAGCGCGAGGCGGGCCGGCCGCCGCCGCTGCTGCGCTCGTCTCTCCGCCGTGTGTGCCGCTCGGCGGTGTTCCGGCTGGTGCGCCGCTCCTGAGTGTCGCTCTGGTAGCGACTCTCGCGGTCGCTGGAGCGGTTCGAGTCGCGTTTCTCGGCGGGAGGGTGGCGGCGAGGCTCGCGACTGTCGGAGCGACGCTCACGGGAGCGGCGTGGCGCCCGCTCGCGGTCCGATGACAGCTGGGCGCGCTCGTCAGAGGTGCCGTGGCTGTCCCTGCTGACCGAGCGACCGTCCCGCCGGCGGCTGATGGTGCCGTGACCCGAGCTGGTGGTCCGCCGCTCCCGGCGCTCGGCGCTCGTCCGATTCATCTCCAGCGGTCGGTCGGGCGAGAACGAACCTCCTCTCGGGTCTGGAGAGTGCGATCCGCGCCGCTTCGGCGAGTTGGAGCGGCGTTTCTCGTCGGAGGATTTTCTCAGGTCCAGCCGGCTGAGCGTGGCCGAGAGCCACCCCTTCTTTTTCGGTTTCTCCGTGGATTTTTCCGGTGACCGGTCGGCAGACCTCTCGCGGGACTGTCGGTCTGGCGATGCGGACCGCGCCCTGAACCGCTGCCGCTTGGTCTCGTCGCTGGAGACCGATGAGCGTGGTTTTTCCTGGCAAAATACATAACAAATGTGTAGTTACTGTGTTGATTACCTATACAATGGGGCATCGAAATTAGTATGTGCATGATACGCCAGCTTTTAGCGACATTTATGAACACTGTCAAATAGAGGCTTTCAAGCAATGAAGACTTCTTTCTCGGTTAAATCTCAAGGAAAATGAATGAATCAGCTGGCAGTTACCGCGATTCACTGCGTGAAAACTTGATTGAAGAACAGATTATGTGGCTTTGGTACGCGTTGAGCATTAGCATTATCAAGGTCTCTGTGTAAGATAATCCCATGTCCGGTCTTTTAATCCAGACCAAAAATGGCGTATTGTGGTCGGCAGACAAATCCATTACAGATAACATCTGTCAGGACGGTCGGCCGGCAATGGCTTGTCTACGGCCAGACTATCGTGACTGGGCGGAGTACCGCAACTAGGGGCGTGGGTCCGGCCTGCCCCGTGCCGTCCTCATAAGGTCTGGGAGGCTGATGGGAGGCGGCAGGCGCGAAGTCACGGAGCGCAGACCGTCTCAGTCTGTTCGCCGTCCGCAGCGCTGTGGTGGGGATATGGAACTCACCCTGTCCTCACGGCTGATGGCCTCGGAGCGCCGCGTGACCTTGACCTTCTCAGAGCGTCGGTGACCCCCATCGACCCTGTCTTCGTCCGTGCGAGAAGACCACTCGCCCTGAAATAATGCCGAGAGTGAGCTGGGAAGGGAAATGGAAGTTTTCGCCTGCTGATGAGGACGAAATCTGGTGCAATGCTGGTCGGACATTCTTTTCTACCACAATACCCGTTCAATATAAAACTTCATCTGTTGAAATCGTTCTTTGCCCACGTTGGCCCACGTTTAACTATGCATTTTGCGCTGACACGTTAGGTTATTGAGTTTGAAGTGGTGCAACATTCGATTCTACCAAGCACTTTCGCTTGGCAGAATAAAAACGTGTTGTAGACAGACTTCCTAATCACACCGAGCAAAACATAAGAATCACGAATTATAAACCGTTCGCTATGGTTCCTTTGCCGCTTATATATGACCATACTTGTACGACATTATTTGACGGCTCATTCCGGCTGTCTCGTCAGTGTGCTATCACAGCGCCTAAGACACGCGTCTCGCCCATTCAATGCATTCCTAGCGTCATTCTGCGGATAGAACGCGGCGCACCGCTCGGTGTCTGGCTGTCCGCTACAAGTATAAGAACAACCTCACCGCAACGGTAGCCCAGCACCTTGCATGTGCACTGCAAACCTACATCAGAACAACAGAAACAAACTGTCGACAAATGTCCGCACTCGGTGCGTGTGCTCGTATCGTGCGGGGATGTCGCTGATAATCGCGAACACTTACGCAACAGCCGCGTTAAATTGCAAATGAGCACACGCACATGTACCGGCGGGGCTCATTAACATTCTGCTTGCGTGAGAGTGTGTGCGTAACGTGTATGTACGTCCCGAGCCGGAGGAAGGACGAGTGAGGTCGCGTGGTGCGTGAGCTGACCAAGGCTCATGACTAATCGTTAAATGGCGTACAGTTTTGAAGGCTGCACTATGTTTCATATCGTATGGTACTGACATTATATTGTGAGCTGCTATCCGCGATAACGATTTACTGGCCTACACGTGTGTGTAGCAGAATTTCGCCAAATAAATGTTCATCCAGCTTCTGTTTCAGTTTCTGCGCCGTTCTATGGAACAATCGCCCATTTTATGGCTGGCCTTCTTGTGAAAACGGCTGCGCCGGTGCATACCGAGACGGCACCCTCGGTCGTCCGCTGAAGCTCGCGCTGACTGCGCTATGAGCCGAGCTTAGGTGCCAGGCCAGCGTGGGGCGCACTGACGACCGTCATCACTCATTGCTATCCCCAGAGCTGTTCCTTTGTCTCCCGTAAGGCGCCGGCCGCTGCGCCCATTTTATGCAGCAGCACAGGTGATTATCGTCGAATTGAGACGAAGATGTGCCAGATTAGGTCGATATACGATTTAACGGCTGCGTGATTTGGAGCGATCTAATACCGGTCGGAATGCATTGTTATTTTTCATGGAGCGCTCTCTCAGACGGTGATGGCACGAGTGGTGTACTCTGAGGGTCGTTTTAGTGGCCCGGTTCTGGGCTTCCACAACAGGCTGGCGTGTTTGCCAGAAACCGCAGACCTCGGTGAACTTGCAATGATGATCCATGACCACCCCAGCCCTCTCGTTCTCCTCTCTCTCTCCCTCTCTCCTCTCTTTCTCATTTCTCATCTTTAAATTATCGGTTCCCTGGTCTCGAAGTCTCGACGCCTGAATTAATTTAGATGCAACCACTTTAGACGAATAAATAAAGGACTACCGTGTCGGATATGTGTTGACAGGTCGCAGGCACCGGCCACAGGCCCCGAGTGCCCCCTGAACTCCGGCTGTGTGCCGCCGGTCCGCCCGCGCCTCCCCGGCCACCACGGCCCCCTGCTCGGCTCGATCGCGTGTCGACTGGCCACCACTGCCGCCGCATTGATGAGCGGCACCGCTGCACAACTGGCCGCTCCACGGGCGTTTTGCAGCCGAGGTCGGCCGGCCGGTCGGCGGACGAATGTCGTGGGCGGTGGGGACGAGTGAGGGGCAGACGGAGCCGACATTCACTCCACATCGTTCGCTTCATACTCAATATTTGCTCCAGACGCCTACTCTCGTGACCGATCTGGCGCAACACTGATTTGGGTGGTCACATCTCTCACAAACTTCTGTTAGATTTCCTCGCGACCACTGAGTCAATTTTTCAGTCAGTTTTGATCTTAGACTCCCATGAACCCTCCCCTTTGCGGGTTTTCCAATGAATTTTCAGCGGCTTGTCAAAGGGAACCACTGATGAAAAGGAGAGGTGGGCGTGTAAGTCCAAATCACTTATTCTACGTGACCCTTTGCCTAGGCTCATATGAGGGACGTTTATATAACGGTCCGCGGTCGCATTTAAAGTGGCGAATTTTGTTCTTTGTTCGCTTCTAATTGCACAAACAATGTATGTGCTTATCGTCTCTAACATCTGGCACACCGTCTCATCAAGGATTCGCGTTTTATTGCTGCACATGATTTATGTGTTCCTTCTAGAGCAGTGAAGGGACAATAAAGAAAACTCATTTGGCTGGCAATGTTTAAAGTTCATTGTAAATCGAGACGAATAGAAGCCATACGTGGTGCATTAGCATTTCTTTCAGCTGAGCGCAACGGTAAGGATGTCATTTTTCACGTATTTTGACACTTGAATCGCCCTCACGAAGTTCACTTGTCATTTTCGGATGCGTCTTACGAATGCTTATTTGGCTAAACCTTCATGTTTGTATGACAAATAGCCATGCAGCTCAACCTGACGGTAGATAATCGCTCACTTCACCTTTGTATACTTTTTACAACTATACATATATGTATGCTGTGGATCAATGAAGAAACATGCCTACAACAATATTTCGCCCTTTGAAGAACAAAGACCGCAGAGAGGACCTCATGGAACGTGGGCAGCTAGGACAGGATCACTTACGAGCCTAGCCACTGTCTCCGTTCCGGCTTTCACCCACACACCTCCCAGCCCTTCCCCGCTCTGCTGTCGGGAGATGGCACTCCCGTGTCTCGGTACTCACATGTGGGTCCCTGTCTCCGTCGCGGGGCCGCGGCGACTGCTCGCGACCGTCGCGTCTCTCGGACGTCTGGGTGCGGCTGCTCTCCACCCGGGTGATGAAGGTCTCCGGGGTATCCTTGTGCGGCCGCCACGAGCCGCCGTCGGGCTCGTCGACCCCCTGTCGCCGGCGCCGACCGTTCTGCGGACTGGGGGAGCTTCCCTCCTCGTCACTACCACGGAACTCAGTGAACTTGGCCAGACGAACGTCAGAAGGCTCTTCTTCGTCGTCGTACATGAACTTGATCTCGAAGTTCTTCTTGCGGTCGTGTTTGTGCTTTCCGTCGTGCTGGCGGTCGCGTTCGACGCGCTTGCGCGCCCTGCCGAGGGTGCCCGTCTCGCGCTCTCGGCTCTCCCGGTCGCGGCTGGTGCGGTCTCGACTCTCGCGGTCCCGGCTGTCGCGGTCGCGGCTGTCGCGTTTGCTGTGCGTCTCACGTGTCTCGCGTGTCTCCTTGACATCGCGTCGGTGGCCGTTGACGGTGCGAGGCGGTCGACGCTCCTCGGATGGGTCACGCGAGTCGCGGCGACGCGGCGACTCGGACGAGCTGCTCACGTGGCGGGTCGACGCGTCGGCGCGACGCACATCCACGCGCCGTGTCCTGGTGGTTTCGGTGCGCCGATCATCCCGCCTCTCATCCCTTCGTTCGTCTCGCCTCTCGGAGCGTCGACGCTCGGTGGTCTCGCTGGGACTGATCCGCGGTCGATCGGGGGACATATCGAAACCGGAAGATACCTGACGGTCAACTCTGCGGGAGTCACTGGGCTCCGGACCGCTGCTGTGGCTGCCGCTCACAGACAGACGGATGACGTTCTCTGTCTCTCTGGGCGAGCTCTGCCGAGGAACGCTGTAAAGATCACCACCGCGGGGTGCGCGGTAGTGCTGCTCCTCGTCACTGGGAATGGATCCCTCCTTGACTGTGCTGAGTCGGGGCGAACGTTCGTTCGGCCTCTCTACGGGTCTATCCGTCCGACGGCCGGTGGTTGTGACAATCTCAGGCGGCTGCTCTCCGATCATGACGATGCTGGAGCCGTAGCGATCGCGACGTGAGTCCCGCTGCTCAAACGAAGAGTCGAGCACGTCTTCCTGGAACCGGTACGACCGCGTGGCTTCCGCGTGGCGTGAGCCACGAGTCGGCTCCGGCGGTTCGCTCTGGAAGTGGTAAGTGCGCGTGCGCGTCTCCGGCACATCATCGCGGTAAGTGCGTGGCTCACCGGACGAGTCGTACTCGTAGCGGAAGGTGTGGGTGACCGGCGGCGCGTCCGGGCGGATGACACGGATGCCCGGAGAGTCGAACGGATCAGTATCGAAAGAGGATGGCAGAAGTGGCGACGGCTCGCGGAAGTTGCGGCCCACGGGTGGAGAGTCGAACTCGTACGAACGCTCCAGTTTCGGTGGTTCGTAGTTGTAGGTTCGTGTCAGCCGCGGTGGGTCGACGTCGGACGATTCGTGGTCGTAGAGTCTCCGTGGGAAAGTGCTGTTGAAGACGTTCATACCTGGCACATGGTCTGGGGACGAGGACCGGCTCCGCGGTTTCGTGCGGCCCGGCTTGGCATCCGGCGAGCGGGAGCGGGACCGGGCGATCTGATCGATAATGCGCCGACTGCGGCTCTCAACAGAGTCCGAGTGGCTGATGATGTCGGCATCCTCTCGGCCGATATAGCTGAAACCGTGCAGCGGCCGGTACTGGCCTGGCGCGCGGTCAGGTCTCGGCGGAGGCGCCTGACGTGGCATAGTGTCTGGCTCCAGGCGTTTGATGCTCGGTCGGCTCGCCTTCTCCCTCGAGGTCGTCTTCAGCGGCGCCTCGTACTCGGGGGTGATGCGGATAGTCGGCAGGGTGGGTGTCGAGCGGTGACCCGGTCGAGAAATCAGCTTGCCGTTCAGCCTCTTCGGGTTGTCCACCTCGTTGTCTCGAAGGTCGCGATCCTCACTGGACGGACGAAGTTTGTTCGGGTAGCTGGAGCGATCGTCGCCGTCCTTCAGGCTATTCAGGTTATTTAGGTGATCCACCTGACTTGAGCTACGCTTCAAAAAGCCGTTCACCTGCAGACGAGTGAACTCTCCCTCTCGTGCACGCTCCCTCTTCAGAGACTCCGCCTTGAGGATGTTATTCTTATCCGCCTCGAGACTGCTGCTTCTGGGCGCCGGTGCCGGAAGCGTGTTGGTGCTCACCGACTTCACCGAGCCCGCCTTGCTGCTCGGCTTGTTCTTCTTCTGCTTCTTCAGCGACGCCCTACTCAGCGAGCCGAACTTCTCGGGCGTCCTGCTCGGCCGCAGTCCGTTGTCGACGGGCCGCTCTGTGGTGCGCACGTCGCACGTCACAGCGTCCAGCTGGCGGATGATGTCCTCGGCCTGTCGGGCCACCTCCTCCGCGCTGGCCGGCGGCGGCTGGCGGTGCAGCACGGCGCGACCTACGGAGGGCCGTCGAACGTCCACGCCGCGTCGGAACGTCACCCGGCGACTGGCGTCCGAGCGCTGACTGTCTGAGCGGTGCACCGTGGGCGGCGCCAGCTCGCGCGGCATGCCGACTAGCCTGCCGCCGCGCGCATCGCCGGCGGCGCAGCGGGCCTACCTGCCGGCAACGGATCGGGAACGGTCACGCGGGGTCAAAGGGGTGACGTGGAGGCAGATCTCGGCTGTGGTAACCAGTAACAATCGGCAAGTCTTTATTTGAGTTTTCGTATGCCAGCTAATATTAAGTTGTTGAGTTTTGGTTGAGGTTAATTGCATGCATTTTATGGAAAGTGCCATAAAAGACATTTTTTCTGTTGTTTGTCCCTGCACATTATGATGGTCGGCTAAAGTGCGCTTCAAAGTGCCTTGTCAACACAAGATTTTATCGTTTGAAAGCGAGTGTAACGAAGAAACTTAGAAGGAAACAAAGCTGGCATGATCGTTGAGTGCAGCGAGTGGCACGGTGACATGCTACCGCTGGGAACGGGATTCTTGTGACAGCCTAGCATGCAAGTTAGGCAATGCAACAGAAGGGCAGTGACATGAGCAGCGCAATATGATAGTTGTTCAGACGTTGTCGGTTCCGTGACGAATGCGCAAGTCACCATGTTACGACATCGCAAATGTATGTGCATGCACACAAGGATGTTGCGCACAGAGAATGGCAAAAAAGGATGTACCGCTGCCACAGGTTGTGAGTCTCCACGAAGAGCTCTCGAGGATGCGGAGCTGCTGTATTCCTCGGAATATGCCCAGCTACGAGTTGGGCTCCAAAAGGGGCCGGGCGTGGGCCTGTGCTAAGTGTGTCGTCTAAAGGAATGTGCTTTGTACACGCCTGCCCTAAGTGTGTCGTGTGCTGGAATGTGCACCTGCCCGGCCTCTTACATACATCCCGTTCTACAGCTTACATCCCGGTCTGTAGCGGGTGCTGTCTCACGGAGTGTCTGTGTCATGAGACGAAGACGACATGGGTGGATGACATATTCCGATAACCACTCCGAAGCACCGTATGCCCGATAACCACTCCGAAGCACCGTATGCTTGCGTATGAAAGCGCCGTTTGTCATCGTGTACACTGCATCTGTTTACTAAGTAAGTTCGGTGGAGAGGTGATCAGAGCTATTTGCATGCATGGACGTCGAGCAGCAGATGGTGGCATTTTTAATCCGGTAGTTGCAAACATCGAACACGTCTCTGTTAAGCATTAATGCCGGTGAAAGGGGCATTGTCTGATGATGAGATCACCACTGATCAGGATAACTAGAGACCACCGTAGGGCTACGCCGCATCCCATGATTCCGCCGAAGCGTGCAACGGACGTTCAGTTTGAACGCTTCCCTGTATAGGTTATGAGCTTTATGGGCAGCCACTGCGTTTTCCTTAGATCGACCATTCGTCATGTCATTGTTGCAATGGGTGGGCGCCGCTGAACAAGCATTACATAAAACATATCGCGTCTTTTGATCCGGCTGCAAACGGCAGCGCTGTGCTGCGTGTGGAGTTTCAATGCGACTCTGCGAATACCGTTCACACGGGCTGAGACTAGTGCTGTGTTTGAGTCTAAACATTGCGCCGGTTTTGGAAGGTCCTTCACGTTCGGTATGTACCCTCCACCTTGGCTAGTCGGTGGTGAACTCACACTCAGAACGGTTCCCGGAAGGACCACTCATGATGCCTAAAGCGCACCTCTCCCGCCCACTCACTACCGGTCACACATGGAACTATCATTCCTTTGATCCCTTCCCTTCACTGGGCACCCGTACATACGTAAGTGTGCCCACTCCCCATCGCCCCCTCCCCCTTACACAACCATGGCCCCTCCGCAGTCATCCCGTAGTATGTCCTTCCTTCACCGGCCGCCGCTGCTCATGGTTCAGAGCTCCCCTCCGCTGCATTTATCTCCATCCCTCTCCGCCAGAAGTTTGCGCGGTGGCTCAGCTGCGGGCTGGCCGCGCCGCCGGCGGCTGGTGGTACTGTTCGATGCATTATTGATGGTGGGGCTCGGGCGGCTGCACCCAGTGGGCTCCGCCGGCTGCTGGGACCGCCACGGAGCCGCAGCACGGCAGCAGCTCTCGGTCGGAAGGGTGCAAGGCCCCTGGCGGCTCCTAACGCTCGGTCGGTGGTATATCGGAGGTCGCGTCAGCTTTTTCTGACCCCCTTTGGCGCTCCCACTGAGGGGTGTGAATTGCGTCCGGTTCACTTCGGTACGTGATTTGTCATAGCGCACACCCCGCTGTGTCTTCTTTCGGAAACCACTCTATACTGAGGGGTGCCGTAAACGTGTCGTAACTTAAACTCTGCCTCATCATTGTCAAATGAATATTTTGTTGCTTTGAAACTGCGGGATCCATGCGCTCGACAGCTTGCTGCTTAGGTGTAAGTGCCAAATTCACTTCATGATACCGTGAGACTAAAAAGGGAAATGCAATTGTGCCTTGCCTTGCAGCTATCCGGTTTGTACCTAAATGCCAGAGCTTCAAAGTTCGACTTGAGATGACCTATGATTGCAGGCCGCAGCGGCGATCATTACACTGGATTCATCCTTATGGCAAAATGCCATTGCTGTTGAACCTTTCTCCCAGAATATCTATGCGATCTTCTGAGGCAGACCGCCCGTCACAGTCTTATTCAGTCATTCAATGCAGACGCCAGACGTTCGCCCTGAAGGCGGTACTGGCCGTATGTACCTGAGCTGTCACTCAGCTCCCCATCTGCTTGACCGGACGCCGCGGCTCTCCCCGCCGAGCTCACCGAACCGAAGGGGACATCTACAATTCATGCCATTGCTGAGGTCAAGCCGTCAAACCCGTGTCCGGCTCGGCAGACTGCCAATCCGTCAGACGACAGAGACTGCCTCCGGGCACAGCCGTCTGTCCGTGCCGGCCCACGTGACTGTGACGTCACTCTGTGTTAGGCTCGGCGGCCAGGTCAGGTGACGGGGCAGCGATTGTTTGCGGTGAGTGTGGAGGCGGGGTGCAGGGGCGGTAGTAGTTCGAGTAGGAGGCGGCCGCTGAGCTGGTGGGAGTGAAGTAGGCCTGCTCCTGATATCGGGACACCGACACTGCTCTCTTGCAGCTGCGGGGAGCTCTGTAAGGACTCTGCCCATTTCGATCACAATTTTCGAGAGAGTGGTTGTGTAATGTCTGATGAGGATGAGATCGCCAATTAAAGTCCAATTAAATTTAGTCGTCCTGCTGTTTCGAGCATATTTTAGCGATCATCGCCGCACAACAAGAGAGCGAAGACGGAGTTGTTTTACTTCATTTCTAAGCTGATGCGCTTTTAGAGGTCGCTGGCCTGAGGCAAATAATATCATGACAGAACGGCATTTTAGGTCGGTAGGCGTATTGTACAGTGGTTCTATACCTGAATGCTTTCAAAACATTCTGCTATAATATAAACCTACCGAGCTTTATGGTTAGAGCAAATCAGTGTCTTACTTATTGCCTGCAAGTTCAAAGAGCCGAGAACCGCCTTGTTAACGGTCCGTCCACCCAGTCAGCAAAACTGCCCGCCGGTGTCTGCTGGAATCGCCAGAACCGGGCTTCACGGAGGTGGCGTGGGCGGACGGCCGGGCCATAAGTGGACGCCCTGACACTGAGGCGAAGGCACGGGGCGGGGGACTGGTCGGCACGGCACGGGAGTCTGGTGGGCACGGGAGGGGACACGGGTCGGCACGGGACGGCACGGGACGAGACGGGAGACTAGTGTTGGTTGGGACGGCTCGGAAAGAAGTGCTCGGAGACTAGTGTTTGTTGGGACGGCTCGGAAAGAAGTGCTCGGAGACTAGTGTTTGTTGGGACGGCTCGGAAAGAAGTGCTCGGAGACTAGTGTTGGTTGGGACGACTTGGAAAGAAGAGTTGGGTCGGCACAGGAACAGGCTTCAGACAATTTGACCACGAGGTGGAAAACGTTGCCCTGCTGGTTGGAGACGGAACAAGAGAAGGTGAACAGGGAATGGGCTCGCTTGCTTATTCCGGAACGGATCATGTGAAACATCATGACAGCGACCGTGGAAAATTAGCACTTAGTGGATGGGCTCGGATGACGGCAGAGATGCTAACTACTCAGAGGAAGCCGTACCGGCCGTTCCCATATATATAGAAACGCTATGAGCAGTGTAATTTTGTTTGCATTATTGCATTATGCGCATTTCTCCATAATTATATCGGTGTAATCAAATTACAATTATTTATCATTTCATTGTCGCACATAAATAACATAAAACAATAGGCATAGTGATACGAGTCATTACTGTAGGATAAGTGAAAGAGAAAAGCCGTTACGACTTGCAATCAAGAGATAAGACGCAACTTATATGCGAACGCATGGGAATCTACTGCCGATCACCAAGGCATAGCGCACCTGTTCTGGAGAAATTGCATAAAGAGCATATGAATGTCATGCAGAGCCGATTATCACGTGCTTGCGATATCTAGCCGTTGAAAAGATATCGCATGCCGAGGAAATTGCGCCTGTTTACACATTGCGACAATAAGGAGGCCGGCAAACGGTGGCGATTGTCAGCGCACGGAACAGATGCCAGGAAAAGATAGTGACTCGGTCCGCTAGCTCTAATATCATGTAAGTCACCAAGAAATCAGCGCTTTACCGTGCATCAGCACATATCCACATATTTGCAACGAAGTGCAATTGCATAATGCTGCCTCACAAGCTTCACACTGACACCCGTTGCCATTTTCCACCACCACTCTCCGCTATATCACCCGTGTTCACCTCTCAAACCCGTGCTCACCTCTCTGAGGACTCCTCCGTGAACAGGTGCGGCTCTCAGCAGCCGTCAGTGCTGCCGGCCTCACAGCGACCCGTCTCCAACGGCACACCGACCCGACTGACGCTGCCACCAGCCGCTCACGGCCGCCGCGCCGCCGCCGTCGTGACATCATCCGTGACGTCAGAGACCGCCGCGCAGCACGCCCATCGCTCCGGGGGCGGGGGCGGGGGCGGCCGGCCCGGGCGCCGCCCACCGACCGTCCTGAACGATGGCGGATCTGACCGCGTTTGTGGTTATGAAGTGGAAGTGGTTTGATTCGCTGGAATGGCTTCAGCGGTGTTGGTCACGTCTATAGATTATTCAATCCCTTAGCAGTTGTTCCAAGGATGGTCCAAAGTTACGTGCCCTGTTTTAACTCTATATAGCAGCCAACCGCCAGTCAGGTATGAGGTAGATAGGGTATACTCGTAAGTGCGCAGAGGGAGGTTACAGGGTGTCAAAGAGTCGCGCCAGTTGACAAATAATAAGACTCGGGTCTTGACGGCTGATCTTAACAACATAAGGAGCCACCCTTTTACGCCAGGTGTCATCTATTGTCCGGCTCCAAATATTTCAGTGTCCGGCCCGTGCTTCTGCGACCGGACCTGACGGACGTCAGTGCAGAATGTTGCACACACGACAATGACAACACCCGGGAAACCGGCGGTGACGGCGGCGAGCCCGCGGTAGCCACCGGCAGACCGCGGTTGGCGAAAGTAGAAAAGACCGTGCCGTGATGAGATCACGGCTGGCGGCTCGGAAAGTATTGCCACTGTGCACCAGGGTAATAGACACATTACTGAGCGTGTCCAACGGCCGGGAATGTCCAGCACAGGGGACACAGCACAGCAGCGGCTCTGGGAGTGGTCACATATGTCTAGGGTGGCACGGAAAGTTGTCATCAGTGCCTATAACGACACGAGGAGTGGCAACAAATGCCTGATTTGACCCCACCGGTGCTAATCGTAGCGCCATAAGCATATTTTATTCGTCCCGCTCTGTCCGTTCAACCCTAATCGAAAGGAGATGAGGTTTTCGCTCTGTGTTCCCTCGCCCGGCACAAATGACCGTCATCTTTCCATAGGGCGTAATTACTGGTGACGTCATAAAGACGGAAAGTCTGCAAACATTTATAACAGCCCGTCACGGCTAGTGATTAGAAATCAAGTAACTTTTCACAGCGTGGGTCGTAGGTATTCGGCGCCGCTGTCGATGTGTTAGGTTCTGAGCCGTCGTTGCAGTCTCCGGGCATAGCCGGTGCTACGTTTATGTTCCTAATGCAGTCACTGATTTCCCGAGCATCGCAGTCTCCGACTGAAATCGGGCGCTCTCAATCGAGTGACGTCTCCTCCGCTAAGTGAACCGTTCTAGTTGAAGTCATGTCTTCAGTGTGATGCAGTAGCGTCTAGCCCATTAGCCTACAGGATACCTACCTACATGACTGGTAGATATGTGTCAATTTTGCCTGATGCGCCTGAGATTGCCGGTGTTTTGGCTCATTATGTGATGCGCACTCCCATCACCGTGCTACCACGGCCTTGTGCGGTATGATACGCCCTTCCCACGCCATCAGACTAGATTGGGTGTCCGTACTGGTTCGTACGTACGTGCAGAGTTCCTGCTAATCAGCGCTAGACAGACCGCCAGGTCGCCCGGTCATGCCCCGCTGTCGCTCAGAAGGTCGGCTGACGCCAGCAATACCGGAAGGCGATGCAACAGGCTGTCATGTGGCTGGAAAGATGCATGCGGTCTGTTGACGTCAGGGCGTGAGTAGTTGCTTGATGTTGTCCACAGTGGTAGCGGTAATACGCTGATTGGGCATTGGACTAATTATGGCAATCGAATCGAGCATACTCTCAAGCCTTACTCATCAACTCCCTGACAGAATGAGGATATAATGTCTCCGTAGGAGAAAACGCGATATAAAAGATGAAATACAAATCACCACAATCTAACGTTGCTGGGGCCGCGTGGTATATGCGTAGACCTCCCCTGCAGAATCTACAAAAGGCGCTTTCTAGTAGTTACGTACGTACAAGCAAAATGAAAACCAACTTAGTAGATGCAACTATCGTACAAATCGTGTATCCGAGATAGGTGCGGTTTGGAAAATGTAGCCACACCCTATGGGCAGTATCCCGAAGAGCCCCTCTGCTGCAGACAGACTCGGAAGAGATTCTTACACCGTCTGTTCCTTGCGGCGGCCAGCGGTATCGTTCGTTCAATCTTAACGATCATGCAACTTGTACGGGATTAACTGAAGCCGGGATAAGTCGGCAGTCGGCACCAAAGCAGCACCGGGTCCTGTGGCCTTCGGGCGGGCTATTAAATTACGTCCTCGATTCGGAATGCTCCACGGAATGGTGGTTAGACACGAAAGCCAAGAGACCAAACCAGTAATGAGTGTACCATGGAAGGTGTGGTCAAAATATGAATCACATTTCTTGCAAATGGCCATGCATAGCTGCCAACTTTTCCTACTTTGCTACGTCCACTTCTTAATTGCCGACCATAAAACCTAAAATCGCCAATGAAACTAAAAGGTATCAAATGAAAATGTATTTTATGAAATACCGACCAATAAAACCGCATGATTTCAACAAAGTGGGCTGCTGGAGCCTACCTTATAAACGGACAACAATACGACACCTTCATGTAGCGCGCCCTGACTCCCACAGGGAGGTTTATTCATTTTTCAGGCACCATCGTTTTCAGCCACCCGTGCTCCTTTGGACCCGCTCAGGTCCCGACTGGCCCATGCAGTATAACTTGGAGTTGGCAGGCTGGTGCGGCCTCAGTTCAATCCCGGCCGGACTGTTTTCTCTGAGCCGCCGCGCCGGTCCGTAGCACCGTCACGGCGGACTCCGGAAGAAGGCAGCACGTCCCACACTCGGCCGGCGGGCGTGTCACCTTCGCCAGAGGACCCGCCGCGGCGAGCGCCACCAACGGTACATCAACACTCACCACAGAAGGCACGCACAGTTGACGAGTTTCCTCCTCACACCTTCCACGGAATACTGCAGCCTCTACAAGCACCAACGTCACCCCATCCCCTTCCCCAGACCGCCCACCATCGTCTCCACACAACAGCGCCACCGCCTCACGCTGATTCCACGGCGAACTTGACCTGCAGGTCGCCCGTCTTGGCGGTGAAGCTGAACTGACAGCGGAGACGGTCGGCGCCGGGGGCCACGGGCCGGGGTTCTCTGATGAGGTGGGCCGCCTGGCGGGCGTACCGGTCCCAGACGATCTGCTGGCCGGGCCGCGGCGCCTGCAGAGGCCCCGTGGTGAGCCGCTGCTGACCGGCCGGGTCCAGAATCCACTCCATCCAGAGCGCCACGCCGTTACACGAGCCGGGCCTGGCAGAGGGGGGCGGTTAGAGCACACGGCGAGGAGGCCACATTTACACAGCGACGGGCTGATGATGATAAATAGTGCTAACGGGTGGTGCAGAGGTAAAGTTATATGGCGGGATGAGACCTGTCATCACAAACGAAAATGCAATTCTGATATTCGTACGATTTGTATGTTATCATGGTGGCTTTAGAAGAACGGTAACTGCGGTAGTTCTCGTTATCTAAACGCAAAAACAATTTCAATAATTCGAGGCATACTCTGCACTGTTAGCGGCCAAAAAAATCCGTCAGGCCTAGCATTGAGCAAGAAATGATACCAAAAACTAATCATCTAAAATCCATCAACATCTGAACAGCCCAGCATTGACAACCCTTCTCACAGTACAAAACGGCAGCCGCCGGCCGCGGGGCCCGTGCAAACCCGCACAGTAGCCGGTAACACCGCTCTACCGTAACGAGCGGCGGCAGCCGTCCGACCGGCCGGCCGGCCGCAACACGACAACAAAGCCGCCTAATCCCACCAGAAAAAGTCGATCGTGTGCCGTAAGCCCGTGCAAATCAACTTACTGTCAGACTGCCAAACAGACAAATCATGGGAAAACGAACGGGTTTTTGGACGTCAAGGCTTTTTGCAAGCATGCAGTAGGTATTACTGAAAAATATTACTCGCAATACTAATTGCTTACAGTACCTACTGGCCCACTGCCCAGCCACAGTAACTACGATTCCAAACCAAATGTTCGCCACCTTTGCTAACGGCCGTCCCCTACCCTTCACCCGCTCCCATTCCCCGTCACTCTCCCCTCCCCCTCCCGTCACTCTCCCAATGACTCACGCTGTGATCTCCATATTGGTGGTGCTCTGTAGGTCGGCCGGCGCGCCGCCAGCCAGGTCAAACGTGGCCAGTGATAGGGGCTCCGTCAGCGCCCGGCACGGGTACTCCCAGAGAGGGTGGGGCTCGCACTCACTGTCAGCCACCTGACACGCAGACTGGGAGGGGAGAGAGTGGGTCAGATCAACAGCGGGTACAGGTAGATGTCATAGGGATGTGCGTCAAGACACAATGGGTAGTGATGGGTGTCGGAACATAGCCGCTAACAAAACAGACCGCTATAGTCGGCCAAAGTCGCGGTTACTAGAAATGGCCAGGCAATAATCCCGGTGAAACGGGAAGTAATGTCGACGGGAGGCATTAGGAGTGATGAAAGGTCTGTGTCCAAAAGAGCCCAACCTTTAGGTAAGTCTGTCTTCAGCCAGCATCATGGCAAGTAATGATAGCCCGTAAATCCAGTTAAGCCAGTTCAATTAACAAACCTACATCAATCATGAAAAGACCACAGCAGCATATCAAGAAAAACGCGGATTACCGACGAATTAATCCGTTCCATGACCTGCGCATTCGTATTGCCCTCATTACGCCAGTAATCAGCACGAGCTCAGCACGCAGTCGAGCCCCAAACCGTGACGCGTGGTCGGCGTGTGGCTCACCTCGATCAGGTCATCGAACAGGTCCATTTTGAACCCCTCGACCGAGTGGAGTGGCGCTCGGATCTTCCAGAGGTCGCGGTACTCGACACCGACACAGTGCAGCTCGGCAGAGTGAGGGATCGTCTACCGGAACAGCGGGGAAGGGATCAGAGCCGCAAATACAGAGCCACTCTGGTCAATGACCGACTCATCGGTATTCAGAATTCGAGGCATTATCTGGTCATTCCCAAGTCGTTTTG